TTGGTTACCTCAGCTCAAGCTCAGGGAGAAATGAGACCATGGCTGAGTGTGGTCGCTTACTGGGTCAGTCCAATTGATGCACATAAGAAAGTGTGGTGGCCAGTTGTCAGGTCCTTTAGGCCAAAGGTGCCTTCTACTGATGGTGGGCTGGAAAGATCCCCTGCACAGAAAGAACTTAATCTGCCATCAGCAATTCTTCCATTAGAGAGTCATTCCTTTGGTTGACTCTTTGGTTGACCCTTTGGCCATTCCTTTTGGTAGAATTGCATTTCCCAAGTTGTGTCTAGCAGAACACTTCTATTAGAGATGTTCCCAAATGCTCCTTGGTCAAATAAGGTTGTGAGCTGCTGGGTTAAACAAAATGACACAGGTTTTCCTCTGCAGGCCTTCTCAGGGCCTTGTTTAATATGCTAACATGTACTATGTCTTTCTGAGATGGAACCAAAATATGCAGCATTTTCCTAATTTTTAAAATCAAGAAACCCTTGCATCTATGAATGACTCCCTAGAGTTCAACTGGGCCGTTTGGGGAAGTGTTGGTCTGGAAGCCTTTTGGTGCTCTTGAGTCGCCTGTGGAAAGTAGCTGTCACTGGAGGGCTTTTCATGGGAGAATAAAAGCAGTACACACAAGGCCTTGAGAAAATAGACTCAGACAGGGGTTTGGGGAGGCAGAGGGTCTGAAACGGCGGGGTCAGGCGTGACAGTCAGAAGTGATCCTTTCCCGAGTGTGGATGCAGAGCAGGAGCCCAGGAGAGGAAGAGCTCTCTGTTCCCCTGCCCCTCACTGCCCCCAGCCTTGCTGCTTCCTTCCCTCTCCTGCCCAATAAGGCTCATTAGTCCTGCTTTCCAAAGCTCTGGCCTTGACCGGTCTCCACCCTCCAAGCCAAAAGTACACCAGGCTCTTTCTACTCTTGTTGGCTTAGCTCTCAAGTCCCTTCTGTGTGGAATGCCCTCTCTTCCCCCAATGTCAGTCTGGAAAATTCCTACTCATCCTATAATAGTACATTCAGGCAGCCACCTCCAGGAAGCTGTCCCTGATACCTACCCCCCCGCTCCCACCTCAGCTGGGTTTATGGTTCTTCCTTGAATCTCCCATAACATTGTGTTGTCTTTATCACTGTCCTCATCATGTATTTTATACTGTTTCTGTCCCTCTGATCTGGGGGCCCCTTGAGGGCTTTATCTTTATATGTTTTTATATTTATATCCTTCCCCAGTAGGAGATAGATGCTAAATAATTAGTTGAATGAATGAAACCCAGGCACAGAGCCGCAAGTGGGTTAAAATTCCTTACATACACCATTTTAAAGAATTTCCCTAGTTAAAATAATCTATTCCGTGTGTTTGAAAACCTCATCCTTATTTGTCATGGCTCACTTCTGCTGGTTCTCTGATTTCTCGGAGCCTTAACTCTTCTCTCTACCTTTCTTGCCTTCTGTCTGACCATTTCTTCCCTCTGTCGCTGTCCCCTTGTCTGCCAGTATGCTCCGGGCCACCTGCCTCACGTGTCTCCTCAAAGGGGGTGAATGAATCTTGGAATGTGGATGGCCTACCCTTAGGTGTGTTTCCCTAAGCGGGATGCGAGTGCAAATATCTTGAGAAGACACCCGAACTTGAAGGGTGGGAAGAGGGTTTGTGGTGGTGGTGTTGTTGTAAAGATTTAATGAGATAATATATGTAACAAGTTCTTACCGAGTATTAGTCACAATGTTCATGATGAGGTTGGCTTGCCTGATGGGGAGAGAGAGAGAAGCCCGGAAGGAAACTGCAGGTAGAGAGCCCGGCAAGGCTGTTATTCGCCCCTCACCCAGGGCTGTGTTACTTTTGCCTTTGTGGGCCCCTCTCTATGTAAAATATTAAAAAGTATATGACCACATGGCTTTATAAAGGGGAATATAATCCAGACTGGATTTCTTATGATATAGTCAATATTATTCTATTCAGTTTTTCTTCTGATTTAAAAAATTATCAAAATTGATATTTAATTAAAAGGACCTCTAAAAATCTTGTGGCTCCTAGCCAAGTGTCTGCTGGGCCTAATGGCTAAGTCAGCCCTGAGCCCACCCCTCTGCTCACTGCTCCTGGAACGCACAGGGCTCTTCCGTCTTTCTGGGTCGCATTGTTCCTTCAGCCTGGAACGTCTGTCCCTCATCCTACCCCCACCCTTTGCCCTTGTCCACCTGACAGATTCCTGTTCATCCCCAAGGCTCAGCTCAAATGTCACTTTCTCTTGCCAGCGTTAGCAAATTAAAATAGAGGGTGCCCAGCTGCATTTCAGATAAACAACAAGTGATCGTTTTAATGTAAGTATGTCCCAAATATCGCCTGTCCCAAATCTTGCACAAGACACAGTGATACTGAGAAGCTGTGGTATGCTTATCTGAAATCCAAATGGTCTGGCAACCCAGCACTGTGGCTGTCCCTGGCTCGTTTCCCTCTCAGGTCTTCTTCTCACCTGCTGCTGGCCGGGGCATTCCCGCACTCTGTGCACCTGTCAGCACGCATGCTCCGCCCCGGTCTGCATCCTCCTCATTGCTCCCCTCACCTGCCCTGGGGCCAGGATGTGGCAGTCTGTTCCTTGTCACCCATGAGTAAATGGGCGTTTTCCTTTTATCTCCCCCACCTACCTATTTATTTTCAGGGACGACTGGGCAGTATTTGGTTTTAATTTCATTCAGGATATGGTGAGACCAAAGTTAACTATTGCATGGGATCACAGTAACAGTTCTGTCACCAAAGACGCGTCCCAAGAAGACACTCTGGATTGAGACCTTTCATTACCTGATGGAAAAAAGCCCCAAGCCCATGGCTGACACCTATGTCCTCTCCCTGCCATTGTGCTCTGAGGTGGACGGTGTGAGGTCTTGGGTTCCCTCCTCCCTGGGACTCTGGGGTCAGACAGCAAATCAGCCGTGACCCAAGTAGGACTTTGCATGTGAAGGGGGGCGGTGCTTTTGGGTTTTGAGACTTAGGTTCAGGAAATTCTGATTTTCTGCCTTTACCTCAAGAGTGGATTGATTCTTTAAAAAGTTCTTTTAAACCTTTGCTTCACTCAGCCCTGGCCACAGAGGAGAAAACTGGCCTGGGCTGATCTCATGGGCACAAGCCACAGGAGACAGTCAGAGCCTGGTGACGGGGCTCCTCATCCAGTGCTCCCACCGTTCTCGGCAGCAAGAATTCGGAGCCTAAAGCTCCACAGAAGCAGCATTCCCTTTGAAGACCACTGTAAGGGGGCATTAATCCCTCAAGCCTGCACTCGTGATTCAAAATGATTCGAGCCTGGTGAGGATTTTCAGTAAGCATGGTGGAGGTTCTCTTTTTTATTGCTAGGAATTTCCCAGCTTTCAACACATTCTCCCTTACATGAGAGACATTGATTTGCACATTCTCCCTTTGGAAAGTAAATTTCCAAAGCTGACCGCTGGTTAATCATGCTGAGCAAGAAACCACAGTACCCGTATGTGTGTGTGTGTGTGTATGTGTGTGTATGTGTGGAGGGGGGTGTCCTTCCCGTGGGAGCTGCCCAGCAGTTTCTGCCTCTCTACCGATCTCTAGCCCCCTCTCTGCGCATCCTGATGCTTACAGGAGCAGGCAACACCGCCCAAGGTAGTTTTCAAGGGACGGTCAGCAGGTGTAATGAGCAAGAGAACAATGCAGCAGGCGGTTCCCTGACCTCACCCACCTGGGGAGCTCCGCCCACCACGCCCCTCCTGGAGGGTCACAGTCCTTGTTGGTCTAATCAAGGTTCTGATAAGTTCTGCACTTCTCTTTTTAGCTATAAAAAACTGTTTGATGTTATTTAACTCAATGTTTTCCAAACTTACTTGATTAGAAAACCACCCCATCCTTTTGTTTTTGCGGAGCGTCTCACCCAGTTAACGATCCTGGGAGCCTACTTTGGGGAAACGGCTCTAAAAAGGGAGCAGAAGGTAGCAAGAGCGAACAATCTTTTCATTCCCTCGGCATGTCACTAATTTTGTACCAGAATTTGGCTGACAGAAACCTCGGCTGGCCCCAGCACGGCCCTGGCAGAAGGACTCCAAACGCTGGAGCACATAGTGGGGCCCTGAGACGCCGGGGACTCTCAGTGCAGGGGGGCCAGGAGTGTCGGAAAGGAAAGGGCATTTCGGGCAGAGGCTGGCACTGCTCTGGATGCTGTCTGTTGGAAAACCTCAGCTGGCAGACACTTAGAATGAGTATTAAGAGTGTCAGAGTTTTGTTTTGGGTTTAAAATACCACACAAGGCTACCTTTTCATAGTCACAAGGCTGCCTGTGACATAACACAGGCTGTGTGTCATCCGAGGAGGAAGCATGCTCTCCTTCCCAACCCAGGGCACTGGCATTTCCTCTCTTTGGTGTGTTTTTCTTGCCACCAGAATACACTCGGCTCAAGGCCACCATTTGCGCCAACTCCAAGGATTGTCATACAGAACAGATGTGAATGGTGTCCCCCAAAGTTGTGCAAGGCAGTGGCTCCATCCAAGTGTTTGCCTGGTTCAGGGCAGAAGCCAAGATGCTCCTTATTTGTTAGCACTCTCTGCTTCTTAAATCCTGCCTCAGTGTCACCTCTAATTAAAGCAGGCCCCATTTTTCCCCCCTATTATAAAATAGCCTGTTTGTATTCTTCATAGCATTTATCATTGCCTGGATCACTACATATTTTTACTTTTTTGAATACTGTCTGTCCATTAAAATAAAATACCAACTACACGAGGGCAAAGATTTTTGGTTTTGGCCACTTTTGGATGACTGGTGCCTTGAATAATACCTGGCAGAGGGTAGGAACTCCATAAATATTGGTGTGATTGGTTGTGGAGAGCTGACGGGCAAGGCCATTGACCAAACTGTGGGCGGTGTGGTGGTGAAGGGGGGGCCTTCTGGTCCAGGGCCCGACTGATCATAAATGCTTGGGATGGCCGCCTGGGCTAGCTGTGGTCCACGGGCAAGGGAGGAAGGACAGAAGGACAGGGAGCAATAGAAACGAGTTTTTATTTGTAAAAAGTTACAAAATGATATTGTACAAAAATAAAGTCTGTAGAGAACTTTGGTTGTATAACACAAACGACTGAGACAGATCAGAGAAGTCAGAACTTCCAAAGAAGTGCACTCCTTACCGGATCAGATGGTAATCGCAATGATATAGAAAAATCACAAACTTTACCCTTTTTGTGGATTTGGTGGAGTGATTTGCTTCAGTTAAAACTTGCTTATGGTGTGTAGGTGATGCCGGGAACGAGCTGTCCACATCCACTGTATCCTAGAGCCCCTGTGAGCAGGGACTCTCCATGGGAATCGGGGGGATAACTGAGGCTGACACCTGGGGACACCAGCCACCAAATCCGCCAGGATTCTCTGAACCGGACAGATGATCCTGGGGTTACATTACATTGTGCTTCACGAATGACCAGACGGCTGGGTCTGTCACTGTTTGAAGCAGGCTGCTCTTCAGCGGGGTCCCCACTCTGGCCCCAGGAGAGGGTGGGAGGGGGGTCCTTTTCCTTTATTTCCAGGTTGTGCAAGGGGAGCAGAAAAGACAGAGAGGGACAGAATGATGGTGAACTTGAGTCTTTTGGGGCTTGGGGGAAGGGATGTCTGGTAAATGCTGCCTCTTGGCTACTTTGCAAAATTCACATGATTGAGGGAGGCCAGTAGGTCATTTAATTGCTAAATCTGTCACACTTTCGGGCTATTAGCTACTTGGATAGTGATAGATGATTTCCTTGATAAAAATCCCTTTTACGAAACATGCAACAAACTCTAAGATAGGGCCCAGCACCTTGAGCCTGGGTCAGCTGCCAGGCAAACCCACCTCTGGGACTCATGTGAGGAGCTGGGTTTTCCCGTCCTACACCCCTGCCCCCCCCAAAAGCGTTCATCGTACAGGTAGGGCATTCTGTGGGCAGGAGACTTGGTGTGTGCATGCAGCTAGGCCAGACACGTCTTCCTCGTCCTCCCTTCTGGGCCACCTTCTTCTGACAGGGACAGCGACTGTTGTCCCAGGGTGACAGCCAAGGGGCTCTTATGGCACCCAGGTAGATCCCATTTCTGGAAGGCCGGCAACATGCTCCCTGACTGCACTGGGCGTGAGCATATTTCTCTAGAAGACGGTGGGTGGATGGAAGGATGGAGGAAGAGTCTCCACAAGTCACAGCAGAACCATGGCTAGCTGACAGGATTTTGATCTTACTTTTAGGTCAGCACTGAATCCAGGACTACTTACTAAAAGGGATTTACCCTTTCATATACACGGTTATGCATCTCATAGATAGATCTGTGTGGTCGGGAGTAAGAGCTTACACGCAACGGAAAGGGAAGCGTGTGGTGGATCTGTTGGGCGGTGGAACAGCGAGCACGCGTCTTTGTGCGCCGCTCCCGAGAAGGGGGCCTGTCAGAAGTGCTCCTTCTGACGCATTCCTTTTTTCAAAAATTAAAATAGGGAAGAGGCGAAATGGGTGGGAGGGGGAGGGAGATTAAGGAGGGCTTTTCTTAAAAAGGTAAAGTAAGTGATTTTTGCCTAGCGAAAAACTTTTTTTAATACTTTGAAAAGCATGGACCCTTGTTCCCAATCAAAATTTCCTTTGTCACTTTTCTTTGCATTTTGCGAGCACATATACTTTGGCACCTTTGAAAAGAAACTTTAATAAATAAGGGAAAAGAAGAGCAACTCATTAGTGAACGGTAATAAATAACAATAACTTAAATCTCAATAAATATCTTCTCTATATTTCTGTATTCTGAAACAGATGCATTGCATCGAGTAGCTTCTCTGGTCACTGGTGACCATGCATAAATGGAGCTGGGGGTATGTAACATCTGTCTCTCTGTAAACCGACAGGCCCAGCGGGTCCCCCTGCCCCGGGGCGGCTGGAGGCCTTCCCCACTCACTCTCCTGCAAGAATGCTGCTATTTCCAAGGACATCAAGGAAATACCTTCAGGTTTGTTTTTAGTCAGGAGGACAGCCTTTTTGGTTCCTAGCCAGCTTCTTCCCACCCCACACACCAGGTTCCAAATCAATCACCGGCCGACCGTTCGCAAAACATGCTGGCTTTAGCAAACCTCAGGCCTCAACTTTCAAATTCAAGGGTAACGATCTCTTGTGTCTTTGCTTTTTGTGTTGTGTTGTGTTGTTTCGTTTTCTTCCTCCTTTCCGGGGTATGTCTCCGCTGAGTGACAGAAAAATAACCTTTCTCGATTTCCACGGTAAAACGTCATGACAAGGAACGACACCAGGATGACCGCTTCCCGGGTGTCTCCAGACATGTGAAAATAAACCACAGGAGATACACTGGTTTGGTTTCAAGTGCATCCGCAACTTTGCCCGGGACTGGCCATGGTGGGCTGTGTCAGATGACAGGAAACACCCAGCCAGGGACCCCAGCCCTGAGCTTCTGGTGACATCGGCTGGCGGCCGGGAGAGTCCAGATGGCTGTTTTCTCTCCCGTCCAGTTCTCTGTAGCTGGATCTCCCTCTACCAGGCTCCCCCAACGGCTGCCTTCCTCCTCCTCCTCCTTCCTCCTCCTCCGCCTCCTTGGTCCTCATCTTCCGATCGGGGCTAACATTCCCTGGGAACCTTGGTCCCTTCCTATGCACCGTAGTAGGAATGCAATACACGGCAGTCTCCGGAGCCCGAGTCAGATACACGCACACCTTTTGGCGGAATGCTTCCTTAGAATGTGGTAAACCAGGTTGTCATCCAGAAACGACAGGTCGTCGTCGTAGGCGATGGGTCTGCAGCAAGCCTGCCCTACTTTGTCACTCACCAGCCTCCTGGTTTTGGATAAGTTTTTTAATATCTTGTCGTACATTGTCTCGGCCGCGTCGCAGGAACCGCTGCAGTACCGAAAAATCAGTTCCTCCTTGGTTTCGTAGCCCAAACCCAGGTCAGTGACGTTTAAATGTATTGCCGTTAAGACACAACCCCGGTTTCTGCCCCGCTGGCCTCGCCGCCCTTTGGCCCTGGAACTCTCCGGGCTGCCGGCCGCGGCCTGGCGATTCCGCTCCCTCCGGGGCGGCACGGCCACCTGCTTCTCGGGCGACCTTCTCAGTCTTCGGATGGTGGCTTGAATGAAATCCATGACGTCATCAAACCGATCAGAATAATCCTCTGGCGTGTTTGCTGTTCAACGAGAAAACAGAAAAGGTCACATGAGACCACAAGTACCGTCTCAGGCAGGCTTCTACAGGAAAGTGCCTCCAAAGTCAGCCTAGTGGGGATCCCCAGCGGGACCAGCAGCCTATTGGCCACTGCGCTCCCCACCCAAACCCCAGGGGAACAGAGGCAAAAATGCCCCTACAGAAGGGAGAGTATCCAATTCAAAGAGGAGACTAGCGTGCCCGGCGACAGACACGCTTCCTTGCAGAGAACAAGTCTTCAGAAGCACACCCTTCGTTTGAGTACCATCTGCCATTTTTAATAAGTCTGTGTTGCGGTTGCTGGGAGCAGGCGGCTCCTTGAAGACCATTTTTTCTTGGCTGATGATCTGAGCTAGAGCAGGGGGCTCTCAGATGTGAGTGTGAGTGAGATGGCGCTGGGAGGCTCATGGAAATGCAGATTCCTGGCCCTACCCTTAGTGGGAGGTACGGGGAGGGGCCAGAGATTCTTCATTTTCAATGAATTCTGACATGACTTTGAGAAACCCTGGGTTAGAGGGTGAGACAAGGATTATCTTGGATCGGGAAGTCTTCCAACATTGCTACTTTCATCTGGAATATCGAGAGCTCTTCCCTGGAATCTCTCCCCGACTCCATACCTCTGCGCCGCTGAGTGGGGCCGGAAGCATTTTGGTAGAACGAATGAAAAGCTCATGACTTCATCTGTGTGTTAAAAGTTCCTTAAAAACTCCCTGAAAAACAGCCCACTTTTCACTAACAGACAACCACTTCCTCGGAACAGCATGACTTAAAAAAATATGGTAAACTGTAAGAAGACATTTATATGGATCAGCAAAAAATGGAAGGAGATGCTGTTTGTGGAGAGAGGCCCAGCTCTGCTGCAGGCGGCCACACAACTCCCACGGCCTCTGGTGGCCCACAGGACAAGACATGTGCGCTTTAGGGAGATCACATGGAGGAACAAGGAGGCGATGCTTCTCAGAGGTTTGAGACCTTTGGGTTAGAGCAAGAATTCCCAATCCCTTGGGGTTTTCTGCTCTGTTGCAGAATTTGCTTTGGTTAATCAAGTAAGAGGTGAGGAACTGCTCTGTTGCAGAATTTGCTTTGGCTAATCAAGTAAGAGGTGAGGAACTGCTTGAACAATGTAATGCATTTCTAAAAGAAGAAAGCCATTCAAACCCCTCGTTATTAGGTCCTAGGCCTTTTATGCTCCCCTCATCCCCATTTCAGGTAATTTAGCAGGTTTAGGGTTATATGTGGCTCAGAAAAAGACACCTCAAAATAGTTGTTGGCAAGAGTGAACATGTTTTGCCAAGACTGTGGTAAAGCAGAGAGGGATAACTTTGGGCCTGACTCCTGTCAAATTGTTTTGTCATGGACTGATTGTTAAAGCAAATGTCAGTTATCCTGTTGTGTAAAACAAAATCCAGCTAAGGTGACTTAACTCTATCAACCAATCGATCGATCGATCAATTGATAGGTCTATTGATCGACACTCATCTATCTATCTAGATTACATAGAATATATATAATATAGGATACACAGTAATGAAAAGAGTGCAGATTGTGTGGAACCCCCAGAACGCCTCATTGTCCGGTATCTAGGATTTGGCATTGCATAGTCCTGCTGCCTGGGAGTCACGAAGCTGCTCCTACCCTGGTCTGAGCCCCATGGTCTCTGTCTGGGTTACCACAGCAGCCTCGACCCCCCCCTCATTCCAGCCTTACCCTCCTTCAGTCTCCTTTCCACTGAGCAGCCAGAGCGATACTCTTCAAACTGTTAATGCAGGTCATGTCCCTCTCCGCTCCAGACCCTCCAATGGCTCCCCATTTCTCTTGGAGTAACAGCCGAAGTCCACACTGGCCTAAGGCCCTACCTGACCTAGCCACCCCTTCTCCTCCAGCCTTTGTCACCTCTGGCCTTCTCTTCTACTTCTCTTCTCCCTTACTGCCTCTCCTCCAGCTTTCCGGGCCTCCTTACCTCTTCTCACACTCAGGGTTTCTCAGCCTTAGCCCTACTGACATTTGGGGCAGGATCATTCTTTGCCGTGGGAGGCTGTCCTCCCACACTGCAGGATGCTGAGCAGCATCCCTGGCCTCAAACCAGGAGATGCCAGGAGTATCCCCCCGACCCTTCCCTAGACATTGCCCAATGTCCCTGGGGGCAAAATCATCTTGGGTTGAGAACCACAGATCAGACACAACCAGGAGCTCAGGGCCTTGGTGCTGTCTGTTCCTTCTCTGCATATAACACTGTTCCTGCACAGCACCCAGTGGCTCACTCCCACATCCCCTTCAAGTCTTCACTCAAAGGTCACCTCCCCCAAGTCCTACCCTGACCTCCCCATTTAAAATATAATCTTTCCCAAGCCCGAATCCAGACCCCTCTGCCTTGCTTCCCCACCCTCCACCATAATACTACCTTCCAACATCACGCTGCATAACTGATTTCCTGTGTTTTTTATTTACTGTCTGTCTTCACAACTCCAGGAGGCAGGGACCTTTGCTTGGCTTGTTCACCCATGGATCCCAAGCGCTTAAAATAGGATCTGGTCCCTGGAAGCCCTCGATAATTTTTGAATAAAATAGGACACTTTAAAAGGGGAGAAGGAGGAGTCCTTGATTTTTCAAGGGGACACTCGGATTTCGGTTGAGGACCACACCATAATGAAATAAGCGGCTTCCAGGTCAACAGCCCACGTCGCGGGGGAAGCGGCCGTGCCCAGTGGCACCGTCATTTTCCAGCTGAGAGCGAAATACCCATCTCGCCAGCCTCCTGCAGCCGCCAAGAGCTCTCTCTCAGTGTCCGCCTCCCTCGGGGTCTCGGAAGGGGCTCCCTCGGGGAGGACTGCTGTGGGAGGAACTCGGAGTCAGTCATTTCCTCGGAATCACTTTCTAACTGGACTTCCTTAAGAAATTTTCTTTTCTTCCGAAAACACAAAAACCTTTAAATCACTCTGTTTAAAGAAATGAATGGCTTATTTTGAGGAATGAGCTGCTTATGCTATTTGTGATTTTTTTCAATAATAAGCTCTGAAGAGGAAATTAGGTGTGCTCAGTTTCAAAAAACCGTGTCTTTTATAGAAATCTGAACTTCTAAAATTGATATATTAGGGGTGATTAATCAAAATACCAAAAAAGTCTTCATGTTCCCCAAAAAGACCCTTTGTGTTACAAAAGAACTCACATGAGGGGATTCCCCCCCCCACTCTATTCAAGAATTCCTGAATAGATCAGTAACTTAAGAACCTGGGGACATAGAAAGTTAAAATCAATTAAGAATCAACTGAAGATTAATCAGAAATTTTACTAAAGATGAAACATTACTAAAATTTTAACATAAACTCACAGGAAAACATTCAAGTTGTAAAAGTTCAACTTACACTGGTGAAGAGACTCTCTAATTTATGCAACAATAAATCACATACTTTTATATTACTGGAGTTATAATAACAATTTCAATCAGTATATAGTATGTTCTTATTTATTGCCTGATCCTTTCAAAGTTCCCCAAAACCATTTTCCCTCCTTTTTATGACATTTTGACGGCATGGCTCTGTCCATTGGTTTTGCTTGCCAGATTAAATACAGAGCCCTTGTTAAATTTGAATTTCAGATAAATTGCAAATAAATTTTTAGTCTAAGCAGTACTAAATGATGTTTGCGACATACTTACACTTTGTTATGAGAACGTTTAGTTCCTTTATTTTAAATTCCAGTTGGCTTTTTCAGGGTGATGAGGATAGCAGTGTGAATGCACCAACCACTTACGCTTTTGGATAAGGTGGTAAACAGATTATTAATCCTGAAATAAAAGGCTTCCAGGAACCTGGGGGGCAGTCAATAAATGCTCGATGTTAAACCGAAGGATATAGCTAATAAGTACTTCTCCTTTTTGTGGGAAAATCTGCCTCATACCTTATTGGTGATGTGGAAATATTTATCGAAGCCCCAGTTTTAGGCCCCAGGCGATTCTTACTTTTTTTTTCCTTCCCTTTTTCCTTTCTTCTCCTTCTTGAAAAATAGAGCAAAAAAATAAATATTTATTTTGCAAGTTTTACATGGATATGAATTTTGGAAACCAGAAAAGGGTAACATTATATTTTCCAAACCACAGAGCAAATAGGCCTGTCTCTTCCAACTAAATTCCTAATTCCAGGCCTGAGTTCCCTTAATTTATCAACACGAGGCATTTCGGGGCCATGAGGAGCCATTCGCTTCACTGTGCCTGTTCTTAGAAATTCTGCAGAGGCCTCGAACCCGGGCTCTGGCAAACCCATAGCTGCCTGTATCTTCCAAGAATTCAAGGAGCTGAGGGGAAAGAAGAGGGTTAGGGTTTGGATTAGTTCCCTAAATTAAAACTTAATGGCATATCACTTTCTTCTTCATCCTATAAAGGGCTTGGCCGAATGTCAGCTATCCAAACAGCCCTCGTGAGTACGAACTTTGATAGTAAAATACTTGCAAACCACAGAAGAGGAGCATCATTTTTAAAAAATAGGTCAAACACTTGCTCGTTTCCCAGACCCACTTGGAGGATATGTCTTGGAAAAACATGTCCATCTAAAAGCTAAAGTTTTTGAAAAATCAAAATGTTCAAATGCATTTAAGTGATCCTTCAGGATGCAACCAAATATTTTGGCATTATTCTCTTTAAGATATTTTAACTTTGATGTGTCCTTTGTATAAACAGTGCTATTCAAGCAAATGAAACCTTGTACTGGGGGGTATTTTTGGGAACAAACCGTTCACAGCAGAGACCTTGCCTCCCTTGATTATGGGGGAAAGATAGTAAAGTCACCTCAGGAACAAAGGACTGGGATATTGACCATTTTGTAAAGGTAACTGAGTTTTTATAGGAACAATGGTAAGGACTCAGAGTACTTGTAATAGCCTAAGGAAAAAGTACATAATTCAAACCATTCCATGCACAAAACAGTCTCCTAAAAGTTAGATTTCTCTTAAGAATAGTAGAGTTAAATTAGTAGAGAATAGTAGAGTCAA